GAGCTGGGAATGGCTCAGAGAGCCAGAGAAACACAGCTCCTCTGGGTGGAAACCGTGCAAGGCAGAGCCAGGCCTTGAACAGACATGGAAACATATCTCTGCTTCCTCATCCCTGGACAGAGAGAGGGATCCTGGCACTGGGCAGCCCTTGGCTTCTGGTGGGGAGGCAAGTACCCCTCACTGGCATGGGGGCAAGGATGGGGATTGCCATTGGGGCTATGCTCACAGCCCACATCCTTCCCAGGACTGCTGCCATTAAAGCCCTTAAGGGAAGAAGGTCTCAGCTCTGAGTGGGACAGGAAGGTGTAACTGGGAAGTCCCAAGTATAGCCATGGGCTGCTTAAATACTTGCCAGCACATCCCTACCGTCTTGTGGCAGAAGGAAACCACACAGCTGCAGGCTGGTAGAGGTTAATGAAGGGGCTAATTATCCCCCCTGCAGACAATCAGGGCTCCATTAGGAGAGCCCCTGTCAGCCTAGCACGAGCAGGTGGTGGGTGGTCTCTGAGCTGGAGTCCCTGAAGGGGTGAGGCAGGGTTGTGTGAGCCCCTGCGCTGCCCAGGCGGGCGGGGTGGCAGCTCCGGGGAGGGCTCCGGGGTGCCGCCGGGCGGGTGCCCCGGGCCGGGGCTGTGCTGCCCTCTCGCGGCAGCCGCCCCCGGAGCTCCCCGGAGCGGGCCCTGCGCTGCTCTGGGTCCCCCCCCCATCTCCGGGTTGGCCCTGCGCTGCTCTGGGTCCCCTCCCCATCTCCGGGTTGTCTGGAGATGGGCGCGGGCTTGCTCCAGCGGCTCCGTGCCCAACCCATCACCGCAACTCTTTGGCCCCCCGCTTTGGGGAGACTCTCTGGCTGGCAGAGGCACTGGCATAGCTGGAGGAAGCTGCCACTTGTCTCGGGGAAAGTGTCTGGTTGTTGTCCTGGTGGTGGTGGTTCCTCCCCCCTACCCATCACTGGCCTGTGAAGACCCAGCAGCTCCCAACCTGCAGCCTGCACAGAAGCGGGGGCCATGTCTGGGGCCTCCTGGCAGTGAAAGGGCTGTGGGCGAAGGGGATGAGGTCTCTGTGCTGGGATGGAAGGGGTGCCACAGGGTGCTGCATGTGAGGATCATCCCAGAGCAGGGGGAAGAGGGCAGAGGGAAGCACAGGGCAAGGAAAGCATCTGTGCCAGTGCTCCTCCATGGCAGGCAGCAAGGATTTGTCCAGAATCATATAGGATGCTGGGTGCTGAGCCCAGGACTCCTGGTTTCCAGGTCAGACTTGTTCCCACATCTCGCTGGCTGACAGGAGCTGAGCGGTCCAGCCCATCAGATTTGCTTCCATCTGGCAGGGATGCAGCTCCCTTCATTTAACCTCATCCTGCAGACACATGGGAGCCTCAGCACACAAAGGCCAGGTCGTGGGGGCACTGCTGGCTCTGCACCAGCTGTCCCAGTGCTCGCTGCACAGGCTGTGTGCATGCAGAGATGCATTTGCGTGCATGCAGCAGCATGTGCATCCACAGGCTGACGCTGTCCCAGCATCCCTAAGTGCTGGAGCAGCCCAAATTCCGGGGTGAGGCTGCCATCCCCTGGCTCTGTTTCCTAGTGGTGACAGGGAAGGCAGGGCCATAGGCTCTGGGACCTGGTGACACTTGGGGGGGCTCGCTGCCCACCAGGTGGAGCTGCACCCCACGTTTTGCTGCTGCTGGAGTGGCCCTGGGCCGGCCCTGGTCTCCTGCTGCTTTTCCCTGCCCCGGCAGGGAGGGATCCTGGCCTTCCCCAGCCCTCCAGGTAGTGCACACATGAAGGACAAGCATGCACGTCCTGTACACGTGCTCTGGTGATAAGTGCTGACCCCCACTAGCCCCACCTGCCCAGCAGCACAGGGAAGTTGCCCGCTTGCAGGTTGACAGTGGATACTGACCCAATATTTTGGAAGCCTTCTCCCCAACAGCCACACAAGGGGAGACCCAGGAGATTGTCCTCAGTAGTGTTCTGGCCTCACTTTTTTCCTGTGCTTGGGGCTGACTGCATTCACTGCACAGATGAGGATGGAGTCAGTCCCAGCCCCTGCCAAGCTCTCCATGTAAAGCAGATCTTGCCTGTTCTAGCTGTGTGTGGGTCCCCAAGGACCCCCAACCCTCTAGAGCTGCTGCAGGCCATGCCACTGGCTTTGCTGTGGCCGTTGATGGGATCCCGGGCTGTGTGCTCTGTGGTTCTGAGCTTGGGGTGCATCTGCTCAAGCACTGCAGCCTGGTGAGATGCAAAGGGCCATGAGGGTAAATCCTTCACCTGCCTTCTCACTGCCTCCGTGGGCCTTGGCTCAGGGCTGCTGAGGACTGGCTGCCTGAGATCCAGCTGCCCTGTACCTTAGCTTGGAGGGATCCAGGGGTAGGTGTTTCTGTGCTGATACCGTGCTAACCCCAGGGAACCAGTCTGAGACCCATCAGCCTCCTCTCACAGCCCTAGACCTGCCCCACGAAGCTGGGACCTGGAAGACCCCCTGGACAAGCAATCCACCGCCTTCCCTAGCCCCTTTTCTCCCCTGATGCTTTCCAGCCCCACGCTGGGGTCCCATCACATACTGTCCCTCCTCTCCCCATGGCACCCCTAGTGTGTGACAGGCAACGGCAAGGGGACCAGGCGGGCAAGGGGCTGAAGAGGGTCTCTCTGCCCTTGGTCATAGCTGGGCTGGGGCTCCAGAGGAGGGTCTGCTCCTTGCCTGGTGGGATGCTGTCAAGCCTGGTCTGCGGTGGAAGCGAGGGAGGCAGCTGTACAGGAAATAATCACAGCTTGTTCCAAGATTAAATCACTGGCAGGAGCGCGAGAGAGGATAAAAGGAGCCGTCTGTCGTTAGAGGGAATATTAACCCGGCAGCGGGCTGGGAAGGGGGAGAATTTTATTCCCTGCACTTGTTGGCTGCCAGGCCTGCTGTGCACACAGGGCTCAGCACTGACAGCATCCCTCAGCGGGACATGTGCCCTCCCTTCTCAGCTCAGCCCTCAGCATGGGCCCTTCTCCCTCCCCTGCTCAAGGGAGGGATGCTGCTGCAGGCGGGGGCAGAGGAAGGATTTTTGGAGAAGTGGGGAAACTAAGGCAGGATCGTGCCACATGTCTGGCACCGCATGGAGGCACTGAACCGCTTGGTCCCTCCATGCATCACTCTTGCTCTGCCCAGGCCAGGTCTTCGCCCAGTTCCTCCAGATGAGCTCAGCGTGGCACAAAAAGTTTTTGTTTGGTCTGGCCTTTATCAGGGACCTGCCTCAAGGTCCTTCAGCACAGGAGCCAGGCTGGAGCTGGAGCAGGTGGGGCCAAGGAGCAAGGGAGAGGGCAGAGGGAAAACAAGAGACCAGCTGCAAAGGGGTGAGCTGGCGGGGAGATAAGATAGAGGAAGAAATGCAAAATATGATGGGTGGCAGGCGGGAGGGAATGTGGGAAACTAGGGGGCACCTTGGGTCAGCCCAGCTGGGAGAGACACTTAACTGGGCAGACCCTTTGGGGGTGCCAGGTGGATGTGGTGACAAGCTCCCAGCACCGCTCGTGGCCCCTTGCCCTTGCGCTGGGACCTGCTTTCAGGTCCAGGAGTAGCTGACATGGGACCCCAAGACCCCTGTGCCCTGGTGACCCTCAGCTGCTCCAGCGATGCTGCATGGAGGCTGAGCATGGCCCTGGAGAGCTCATGGGAGCAGACGGGCTCACTGCCGGCTCCAGGGACACGGGGATGCGGACACCTTCCCCACAGCCCAGCTGGGCGGTGGCCACGCACCGGCCAGGCTTGGCAGCCGTGCCCAGGCGGTGGCCCCCTCCCTGCCTCTGGCAGGCTGTCTCAGCCCCGCCGCCGGGGCTGCAGTGGGGAGGAAAGCCATGCTCCACGGGCCAGCTCAGGGCTGTGGTTTATGGGCTCTCCCGTGCCAGGATAAACAGACCCACGGGGGCCGGGGTTTGCAGTGAGCGGTTCATGAAAGCCTGCGGCCCTGCGCCTAGGGCTTCCTTCCCTTTGATGGAAAAGTCCCGGTGGTTTCCCAAGCAAAAAGATCCCGGCTCCTTCCCCCTCACCCCCTTTCTTTCCCCCCAAGTGCATTCTCTCTCCAGCTGAGGCCTGGGCTGAGATAGGAACATGAGCTATCCTTGGCTGCCTCTTCCAGCCTGGTGGTACCCCACAGAGCCAAGCCCTCCCCTCTGTGCAGGATGAGGCCCCCAGTGCTCAGCCTTCCCATGTGGGGATGCCTGGCTGCATGCAAACTGCCTGAGCCTGGCCTGATTTTGCCTGAGCAACTTTCTTTATCAGCCTGCTCCCTCTCTGGGGAAGTTGTTTGAGAAAGGCCAGCGCTGTTGGGAGCAGCCAAGGCAGTGATTTCTCCCACCGACCCAGCTGATGGAGCTGAGCGTGTGGGGAGACCAGACCCATCACAGAAACACTTGTTGCATCCTCAGTATGCACAGACGGTGCTGTCAGCGCCAATGGGTGCTGCTGGTCACTGCCCACCCTCTGGGCCCTGGGGTTTGCCTTACCTGCGGTTCCTCACTAAGGAAAGGCTCCCACGGGACCAGCTCCACGGTACCAGGCGTGGGCTGAGATCCACAGGTGGTTTAAACACGTCCCCCAGCACCCCCCAGTAGCTCCCATCCACTCCACTCCAGACAGAGATCCTGGAGCAGATGGAAATCCTCAAAGCTCGACCGGAGCCTGGAGATCTCTGCAGGTTTACACCTGGGGAAGGTCTGGCCTGGCTGCACACAAACCCCAGCGAGCAGCCATTGCCAGGACCTGCGATTTCCAAGCCGACATCAAAAAGCAGCTGGGGATTGGCTTGCAAATGCTCCCACACAGCACATCCTCTATGTTTTATGAGCGATGTTTTACAACGTAAGCGCTGCTATATTAAGCCATGCATCTAACTGGAAAAACAGGAGATGGCGAGGCAAGCACAGCTACCTCGGTGCCGGCTGCTTTAATGCTGTGTAAGCGAGTCCTTCTCCTGCTCAGGCGCTCTCCTACCTCTCTCCCCCTGCCTGGTCCCGTTCTGTGCAGGCAGGAGGCAGGCATGGGCACCCTGTGATGCACAGCTGGCCCTTGGGTTTTGGGACAGGGTGCTACGGTGAGGTGTTTTCCCACCTGCTGCAGCTCCCGTCCCCCAACCCTGCTCCTGGGGTAGGCAGGAACTGCAAAATGGGGCCAGTCCCCATCTTCTAGGGCAAAATCCTTGCTGGCAGCAGGATATCAGGGGCTTTGTGGGGGCTGTTTGCCTTCAGCTGGGGTCTTTTGGTTCCTGAGCAAAGGGTGAGTGTTCGGGGAAGGCCAGCCCTCCTCACCGCCGGGCAGGCAGACGGAGAAGGGGGTCTCCTTCCCGGCGGCCCCAGGAGAGGGTGCTCTCCGCCCGCGGCTGCGCCGGGCTCGCACGGGCACCTCCGCGGCATCCCTGCACCCGGCTGGCCGGGCCTCTGCCCCGCTCCCCCCGCGGCCCTGGGATGGAGGGGGAAGCAGAGGACTTGGGCCAAAAAAGCCCATGCCCTCTGGACGGGCTCTGCTTTTATTCCTTACTACCCTCTGGGGTAAGGATTTGCACGGGGAGGCTGGGTTTTCGAGAGCTCCCATCACCAGACCCTGACCTGCGTCCCTGTCCATTGCCCATGGGGATGGATGCAAAGAGCGTGGCCGTGCCGTGCCCTACCTGGGGACGGTGGAGGGAGCAGTCCTTGGCAAGCCAGGATCCTTGCAAGAGAGCAGTGGAGTTGATTTATGCTCCTGACATTTCCCTCCCAGTCGGGCAGAGCTTTTAATAAAGAGTGAGTGATTTATGGCTCCTTTTAAGTAGGAAGGAATGTTACCTAAGGCAGTCTGCCCCCGACACCCCCGCCTCGCTGTCTCGCTGAACCCCCAGCATCTGGGCTAGCAGGAGGGGAGCAGAGACTGTCTCTGCCGCCATCTTCCCCCGAAGCCCTCCCCACAGCTAAGGTGGCTCCAGCATCCTGCCCCATTCCCAGCAGCAGCAGCCCTGGTCCTGTCCGGGGATGCCCTGGCACCCTGGGGGGAGTGGTGCTGTATCCCCTCCAAACTGCCCCCGGCCTCGGCAGCAGGGCAATGCACAGCTCACGTGCCACCCTGCACGTAGCAGCAATTCAAGGAAAGCTTCTGCCCCGAGACTCCTCTGCTCCCCTCTGTGAGGACCCCTGTGGTGGCTGGCCTGGGGATAGGATGACAGCTCCATGGCAGTTGTCATGGTTACTGGGTATTAATGGATGCGGGCATGAGCACTTCCTGATGATGAGCAGCTCCAGAAGGGAAGGACTGCCCTCACCCCATCCAGCTTCAGCCCTCTCAGGGGCGCTTGGTCATGGAGCCACCTCCATCCCCCTCCCCAGCCCCTCCAGACCCTGAACCAGTGCTGGCCAAAGCCAGCTCCAAACCCAGAGGTGGCAGCAGCTTGCAACTAAAAGGGCTTCTTGGGGCCTAAAATGACTCTTGGGTCTCCCGGAGCAGATAAGGAAGGGGACCTGTCCCCTCCTATCCCAGCCCTGCTACCTAGAGGGGGCTGGAGAAGGCCACAGGGCTGGGGGACATGGTGGCCAGCAGGAATGGGGACGCAGCAGAGCCACAGGACCCTGCCAGCCAGTCCGTTTTCCCTCTGGAAAGGGCTAATGAGTGAGGACAGGGGATAAGAGCAGGGGCGGAGGGAGCATTGCCCAGACAAAAGCAGCCCCAAGAGGCTCCCAGCTGCTAATGAAGATAAAGTGCCCGGTTCCTTTTCTTCTCCCAGTGAAATCTGGTGGCTAAGGGGGAAAAAATGCTTTCAAGTGTATTCATCTATAACATGGCCTGGGAGGCAGGTATTCCAGCAGCCAGAGCGGCGGCCAGCTGAGACACTGATCTCACACTTCACACACGTGCACACACACACGCATGTGCAAACACACACACACACACACACACACACACACACACACACACACACACACACACACACACACACACACACACACACATCCATGCGGGCTGCACACAGTGTGTGTGAAACACCTGCAGAGCACACGCACATGCACACAGACGTCAAAAGCCTGGTCTTTCTTTGCATCAAAACAGCAACCATAGATGAAGGCATGTGTTGAGCAAAACACCCCCTGCCCACGCAAAGCGCCCGTGCTGGGCTGCCAGATCCCACACATGCCCTGAAACGCACATGGCAAGCGCAGCGCAAACACAGGCGTGCGGCACGCCAAGGGGCCTGCCCAGCACCGCTGTGTGCGCACACACACATGCACACACATGCACACACGTGTGTGTGCGTCCTTCCCCCATCCTCAGGCCTGGCACTTGTGCAAACTCAGCCTGTATTGTGCAGCCGTGGTGGGAGAGGGCAAGTGATGCCCGGCAGGGTCCCAGGGTGGAAGCCCTTTGGCGTCACTGCAGTATTTCAGTAAATACATGAATAAACCTCGTTGCTATTGATGTATGGGGGAGGCAGGTTGGAGGGAGATGGGCTGGGGCTCTCCCGTGCCGTGGATGGATGGACTCCCACCCCATCCCACCCACGGGGTCTGTCCCATGCCCTTCCCCTGCCTGCTGTCCCACAGCCCAGCCCTTGAAAAATCTCCTTAACCTTCATCCCAGCCCCGGCTTGCACAAGATCTGCAGTAAAGAGTCCCACTGCTGTCCCTTGCCTGGGACCTCCTCTTCCCAGAGACCCTTCCGCATGCCTGGAGCAGAAATGCCAGGGTCAATGGGGCTGTATTTCCAAAGTGCCCATCACAAGGCTCTCTGGGAAGGATGCTCTACAGCCCTACACTAAGTTAAACAAACCCAAGGCTGCTCTCTGGCCCTGAGGAACTCTGCCACAGACGAGCCCACCTCCAGGCTGTGAAACACATCCTGTAAATGGGCAGCCTGTGTGCCAGATCCTGCTGGGACTGTCCCTGACCCAGGCTAACTCCTAAACCATGAGCAAAAACTGCCTGGATCAGTGCAGGCTGGCCAAAGCCAAAACCACACCAGGGCAGTGCTAAAAATTCCCATGGGGACAGTCCCGCTGCTGTGCCTGGGATGCCCTGGGACTGTTTGTTTTAGAAGTGCAGACGTAACCAAAGATTTCCCCCCCCTTTCCTCCCGAGGCTTTGAATTAAGTGGCCCATTTACAGAGAGGAAGCAAGGGAATAGATGGCATGTGGGAAGGGGGAGCAGCTCCTCCCCAACACATCTGGCAGATGAACGTACCCCCAGACCCACCAGAGACCCTCCAGGCATTTTCTTGCAGCCCCCCAGGCAAATAGAGGTGCTGCAGAGAGAGGCTGGATCCGGCCCTGCTGACACCCTCCTGCCCTGTCTCAGCATCACGTGGGGGCTATGCCTGGCTAGACCCCACTGGCTTGTTGCAATCAACTGCCATATCAGTTGGGCATGAGGGCTGATAAGAGGTGCCCCACACCTCTGGGGCAGGGTGGAGCGGAGCATGGCTGCTGGAGGCAGCTCCGGCACCATTCGGCATGGCTTTGGCAGGTTCACTGCTATCCCACCGCACCCGGCTGCTGACAGCCGGCTCCTTGGTACCTCCCAGCTCCTGGTTATTAATTCATATGGATCTGCTTGGCTGGGCCTGGGGGAAATAAAAACTAGCTGGACAATTGCACATACACCCCCAAGCAAATATGGGAAGTGGGAAAGAGAGGGACCCAGCTTAGTGAGAAACTAGGAAAGCTATGGGGAGGGAAGCCTAGGAGCAGCTGGGAACGTCCCAGCATGGGGACAAGACCTCAGAGCCAGGGGTCAGGGGACTGGGGCCAGAAAATAGCACCCGGTGAGAGCTGAGAGGTCGCATTACCCCTGCAGTGTGGGATGGAGGGAAGCAAACCCAGCCCCTCACAAAGCTGCCTGTGCCCGTGGCCGGGGACAGTGCCTGGCCCAGCCCCAGCCCCGCACCGGCTCAGCCCCGGCCCCCAGAGCCCAGCGCCGGGTGAGCTGCCCGCACTCCCTCAGCAGAGGGCAGTGGATGCACATGCACACGCCTGCACACCTGTGCTGCACACCCGTGGCCACCCACCCCTGTGTGCCCGGGACACGGAGGGACACGGCGGCAGGGACCGGTTCTCGGTGCTCCCGATGCTGCCGGCGTGTTGAAGGAAGAGCCTGGCACCCCTTGGGCGAGAAACGGGTCCCCAGGGGCTGGCAGGCGAGGGGTGGCAGCGGGGTGAGCGCTGGCCCTGCAACGCTTCCCCAGGGCAGCCTGAGTGGGGACCACTGACCGGCGAGGGTCTCTGCCTGCATGACCCCAGCCCTTCCCCGTGCTCTGACCTTGTCCCCAGTCCTAACCCGTCTCTCTGTCCTCTCCCTGGTTCCCAGCGGAGGACACACTGTCTCCGGCCCAGGTGGGTGAGCCCCCACACTGCTCTGCTCACCCCTGCAGCTAGCCACATGCTGGAGATCCCTGCCTGCCCTCCGAGGCTCCCCTGCCCACTGGGATGCTGGAAGCTGTCTCTCCTGGCTTATTTTCATGGGCATTTACCACAGCAGCAATTCTGAGCCCTGGGCAGCAGGGACGAGTCTATAAAGGCAGCCCTGAGGCCCAGAGGCACAGGGAAAGCATCCACACGATACTGTGGGCTGTTAAACTGGGACCCCATCTCTGTCACTGGGCAGGGGGAGGTGAAGAAGTGCCTACGTGCATGTGGGCAGCCTCCCAGGTCAGAGTGGTGCTGTCAGAGTATAAAGGGGGCCCCTATAGCTGCGTAAGTGGGGGTCCCTATAGTTGTATCAGCAGGGGCACTATAACCATATAAGCAGGACCACTATAGCAGTGTAAGGCACATGACAGACAGCCACAGGATCCCCCCTCCAGCTGCAGGAGGGTCCCCAGTGCCAGCCCCTCCCTGTGGAAAATGAAGCAGCATCCCCTCCTGGTGCATCCCAGCCTCTCCCAGTATCTCTGGCCTCATCATCTCAGTGCTGCCTGGCCCAGATGTGCTGGGAAGAAGGAGGGGGCAGCCCCGGCAGCTGTGGAGCATTCAGGCCAGATGTGGAAGGTACACTTTGCGACAGCAAGCCATGAGGAGGCTGCTGAGCTGGAGGCCTGTACTTATCCGGCCACGACATGGCACAGGAAGAAAGGACATTCCTCCCTTAGGAACAGCTTGCGCACATGGCGTCATCCCCTCATTATTAGGAGGGAAGCCACAGAGAGGGTGTTCCCAGACCCCAGCCCCACCGCCCCCCC